GAATGCTCTCCACACATCATTTTTCTGCTGCCTTCTCCCGCATGTGTTCAGATGTTCACAGAGCTCTGACCCAAAGCCCACTGTGTACAACGGACATTGTTCCACTGTCTTCAGAAGGCCTTGCATCAGAGGCCATAAACTATGTGGATTGCAACATCTCTCCTGAGGAATTACTGGACTAGGTGGGTGCCTGAATTCAGTTATATATTTAAGCCCTTTGATGAGGTCCTCAAATAAATCTTTGTATTAAGATTTTTTTTTTTTTTCAGCCTGAAATTTCTAGTATCTCACAGCCTTCTTGGATAGCTGGCACAATTATTTCCCTCTTTTACATGAATTTTCCAGCCTTTTTATGCATCCTATTTCTCTTTTTTTCCATTTCAACCCAACATTTTATTTTAACCTCATTTCTTCACTCACGGATTCTGCTTTATTCTATGTTCATCCTTCACTTCACTCTCATGTCCACTGTCTCTCACCATATCTCATTCCATCATCCCCACTGTTCCCTCCATCATGTACCCTTTATCTCGAACCTAAAAAAACCCACTGAGACTTCTTGAAAATCATTCTAGCAACACATAACACGAATCTAGACTTGAAAACAACATGGCTTAAGCAGGTGTCACTGAAATAATAATTAGAAATCAAGATAAATACTAATGATGATAACAATAATAAAAAACAAGTTATAAATTAAGAGAGAAGACTGTGAAAGATTTGGAGGTCAAGAAGCACAACATGGCTATAGCACATCCCAGCAAGAGTTGAAGAGGGGCAGTTGACACATTTCGCACTAGTTAACAGTGAGATAACATAAAGAAAGAAGAGGATGCTGGGACTCTCAGCAGTACTAAGATCAGTGGCAAAAAGGCAGCTACAGAAAACATAGCCAGTTTTGTTCAGAGTCTGACAAGCTGGGATTTGGGGAGGCAATGAAGAAACGAAATTTAGTACCAAAAAAAAAAAAAAAAGATGTTTTCATGCAGCTATAAAACATCAAAGCCATATTTTTTCAGGGAAAGACAGTAAGACAATAGCAGTAAAATACCTTAAAGAAGTACATCAGAGTTTGTGATAGACCACATAGTGACACACTTGCTTCTTGTGCAGATCTTGGATACTATTAACCAGAAAGCCTTCAAAGATCTTCATCAAGGGTTCAGGTCTCTTCTATACCACACTACAGTGCTCTTCATAAACTGTTAGGTCATCCTTTACACAGGGAAGTAGATTCTTTATTTAAACCCAAAAAAAGTGCTACAGAAGTATCCTGCAGCAATGGTCCCAATTATCATAGTAACATTCCTATAACCACTAGTGACTGTCTTCATTATCACAAATTACTATTTTTGTTTTAAAGCCCCCCAAAAAAACTTGTTCTAGACTGACCTGAAATAGGTGAACATACTAGAACCAGTAAACAACCACTTACTACGAGAAATAGGCTGAAAATGCTACAAGTTTTTTGCTGTCTAAAATACCCATTTCAGATGCTCCAGATAGATGCCAATCAATGGAATTAGTCTGCTATCTTCAGTTCTGCCATCAGGAAACGAATACTGAAATAATCCTAAAAAGGCATTATTCTGTGGGAAAGGATGAGCCAGGCAAATCACTCTGCAGATGAAAGCTTTTCCAAAGGGATACACTCTCCTCTTCATTTTCTGAAACAGAATGCAAGTCCTGGCAAACCAAAACCACCA